TAAATGCGCATGTGCGGCGCGATGCTGTACGACTGCTGTTGCATTTCGGAGGCTCGGCCTTCGAATGTGACAGTGTGTTAGGCCCAAAATCGCTCCGTTTTCATATAATTCATAGCGTTTTAAAGACAAACACATTCCACCTCATTTCCCGCCAAAACCAACCCTTCCCAGAATCTCTTTGGCCTTTTTCTTCGCTCCGTTTGTGAACGTTTCAATTATTTACTTCTCTCTGACATTCTTGTCACAACCATGGCCTCGTAAGCAACGCCACATGCTCATATCGGAGCAGTGTGCATGCCTTGCTGAGCGGAAACTCAGTGGCATCGGGTCGCGACCCGGATTCCCATCGTGACTCGGAGCTGGACGGAAATCCAGTTTACTGAGTTGAACGATTTGCTCAACAGGAGCTTGAACGGCCGTGGCTGAGCGGAAACTCAGCACGGTTCGATTTGACGGACGGAAATCCGTCAGTAGAATTTGCCCGATCGTCAGCTACTAAAAGCTGTATTCGATCCGCAGGCACTGGCGGCTGCCAGTAGATTATTATGTATTCCGATCACTCGGAGCTGGACGGAAATCCAGTTACTGAGTTGGACGATGTGCTCAACAGGAGCTTGACCGGCCGTGGCTGAGCGGAAACTCAGCACGGTTCGATTTGACGGACGGAAATCTGTCAGTAGAATTAGCCGATCGTCAGCTCCTGAAGCTGTATTCGATCCGCAAGCACTGGCGGCTGCCAGTAGATTATTATGTATTCCGATCACTCGGAGCTGGACGGAAATCCAGCTGCTGAGTTGGGACTGAACTGGAACGGCCGTGGCTGAGCGGAAACTCAGCGCGGTCCAATTTGACGGGCGGAAATCCGTCAGTAGAATATTAATACTAGTAATATTCTTTATTTCCACGATGGCCATGCGTCTTGTATACCATGCATGGTATACAGAATAGGAATTGACCTACCGGTATGATTGATTCAGATCAGTCTGAAATAAAAATTAATAAATAAAAATTAATTACAAAAAATAAAATAAATAAATATTAATAAACAACTCATTTATTTTATTTTAATCTACACTCAATCTCTGCGGACACTGGGACAGCATGCTGTTTCATTCTTCATAATGACTGTGGACTGATATGATCATCAGCGCAGCATTGAGAAAATGAGGCCGAACCTGATACCAATGAAACATAAATTTTCCAAAGCCTTATTATACTTTAATCTACATTGTACATGTCATGACATGTAGCAAGGGCCAGGGAGAAAGCCTGAACGACAGCTGCTGGAAGCTGTATTCGATCCAGAGACGCTGGCGGCGGCCAGTAGATTTAATTATGTTCGTGTTCGATTGAGGCTCCTGTCACGATGCAGGATACTTATGTTTGTCCACGCACTTTGCCCGACCCAGCCATAACCAGATAACTGTGTAAGGTCTAGCTGCTATGCAACAATAATGGCGGAGGCACATGCGAGACTTGACCCCGCACACCGTACTACAGACACGTTACTGATGCCAAGGGCTGATGATGTGGTTGGGTGCTGTGTATGCCAATGCGTCCCTATCCAAAATGAGGCGGAACTGGTTGATTGAAGCCAAGCACAAGCTATTTGCTAAGAGCTGCCGGAGACTGGAAATCTCAGTGGCAAAATGTTTTCCGCCAAGACCATGAAAAAGGTTAAATCAGGCAATGCCCTGGTGGATGCATCGCACCTATTGCGAGCACAGCGTCACCACTAATCCCGCTTTCAAACTATGCGGCATTCCACAGTCCCCTCCGTTCTGCCGTGACACCTGCCCGTTTAGCGGCCGGTCGCCCCTTTTGGCGCAGGGGCCCCTTGCCATTCGGAGGCTACCGACCGGGGCCCCATACCAGACCAATCGGTCGTGGCATTCCCAGTGGTCATCAGCACAGAAGTAGAAACACTCCCCGGTGTATCGGACAGCCTGGCGAGAAGGCTCTCCGGGGCGGTCCAGCTCTGGCGCGACATACGCACCAAGACCCCGCAGACTCCTTTGTCACTACGCCAAGCTGCGGAGTGCATTATTATTAGTATCGACATGTTCGCGGTGGATCGCTTATGTTATATACAATACCCGTTCCCAGCTAACTGGGAAGAGAGATCTGCTGTGCCCCATGCCATGAGTACGGGTCTTACTTTATAGCCTAGGTGTGGTGAAGCTTGCTGTTGAGAGCTGCGAAGCCTCAGTGGCAGGATGGTAGCATCCCGGATAGCAATTTGCCTACTTGTAGCGTTGCTTTGATTTCGGAATCTCCAATTCCAGTTACACCGGGCTCTGGAGCGGCCATGGACAAGAATATGTCTGACGCTCGAGCCTCAGGGCGGCCTCCTTGCAGTGGTGGTCACACCAGTCGGCAGCACACAATGCCATGCCAGTAGTGCCAGCCCCGCCAGTTCTAATCATGATTATCATCGGATGCATCCGACTACGGTTGGGGCGCAGTGTGCCAGAACCGGGCCATGGGAGGGCCATGGACACATCTGGACAACTTCCGCATCAACTGGAAGGATCTTCAAGCTGTTTTCCTGGGCCTGCAGACGTTTGCTCTTGCCAGTCACTGATAACAGTATGGCTGTGCTAGAGATGGACAACACAACAGCAGTTGCATAATTATGTTGATCACCAAGGCGGGACATACGAGACTCATATTCTCATCAGCTATGCCAACTAGCCAAGGACATTTGGACCTGAGTCGAGCAGCGCCAGCTACACCTCAAAGCCCTCCATGTGCCGGTCGCCTGAACACCGAGGCCGGTTTTCTATCATGGAACATTGAAGAGAGCGGCGATTGGCAGCTCAATCCAATTATACAGGGTTGTTTCAGCTGATCAGGGAGAGTCGCCATCCAATTGTCCGAGATCTGTTCGTGACGCGGCACAATTGCCAGCTGCCCGCGTACATCAGCTAGCCACGGCCAAGACCAAGTGGCAGAGTGGTCCGATGCCCTGACGGCACCGCCGGCCATGTGGCGGAACGGTTACCTGCTTCCACCATTTGCTTTGGTGGACCCGTGTCTACGCTGCATCCGAGAACATCGGATCCAGCGAGCAATTCTAGTAGCTCTAGTTTAGCTGGTACAAGGATTCTATCCCTTCTTGCTGCAGATGTTGATCTAGTGCTCTTGGCAGCTGCCACAGCGCGACCCTAGACTCCTTGAAGAATCTACATCCACTGTAGGGCCTCCGGCTAGCCATTTGGACCATCTGGACCATCTAGGCATCTAGGCATACTACAGCTCAGCTCAGCTGGGACTTTCAGCAGACGCCTCCACACGGAGGCTCGACGGACCTACTCATACGAGTCAGCCTTCCGATTATAGAACAGCTGATTGGGTGCACGGTAGGAAGATCACATGGCTGCCTCACTAGCTAACTTCTTAGCTGATCAGGTTTCCGAAGGTAAGCAGTACCGCACTATCAACATGTGTCGGTCAGCTCTGCCGTCCCCCTTGCTTAACCCATCCGGTTTCCCCCCTAGCCAAGACTTGCATGTGTGTTGTGTCCTGCGTGGTATCTATCACCACTAGCGACCACCACAGCCATAGTGTGGTAACACATGGGACGTGAAGATGATGTAGGATAAGAGTAGTGCTCTGGGTCTGAAAGCTCAACTTCGGGTGCCCCTTCTGTCCAGGAAGACTTAGTGTGTAATGCTAGTATTATGCTACTTGCGTTTGCAAAGTCAGCTCGATCAGTTGAGCTGACCTCATTGGATATCAACTAAATGCAGGTGCTACTTGATGTTTCAGCTTACCTCGCCGACAGTCTCAGAGGTCCGGAAGTCCAAACTCATTCTTCGTTCCCAAGCTACTACTAGTACTAGGTAGTCTGGCTAGCCTACAAATGTAGTTGATTATGCTCGAGAATTTAGAGCCCGCACAGCCAAGTTTCGATTGAAGCCAGAGCAATCAGTCCAATTCTACCACTGGCTTGGCAATCCCAGCTCCTCACATACCAGTGGGCTCATCCACTCTGGCACAGTGGCTGAAGGGTATCTTGTCTCTGTTTGGGAATTGATCCAGCCTTCCAGGCTCATTACACCTACTCGCGGCGCCTCAGCTGCAGCCGCTTTCCAGGCTGTCATCTGTATGTCAGATGCCTAGCTGGCAGCCAATTGGAGCCAGCCTGATACATTTGTATCCCACTATAATGGTCACAAGCTGTGCTCAATAGCTCAGCCATTCATAATCATCCTTCCATTGTCCCTACTCAGCTGCTGCCTCTCCGGACTGAGGGTGCCTATGTTTCACCTACTGATAGTGCCGTGGTAGTAACCCAACTGCAGTATTAGTATTTGTGGGAATATCCGAACATTGTATTCATGTACAATGTATATGTAGTCTGGATGAGTGGCACTGTCTGTGCATCACTTAGGGTGCCGTAAATTGTGTGGAGGTTTTCTCTTGTCAGGCTAGTTACCCTGAGGAGTGAGTGCTGTTGTCCATGTTTGCACTGGATGACGTTCAATGGATGTTATGCTATAATATTGCTTTTCCAGCTCTATCACTGTGGAGAATACATGTTTGAGCAAGTATTGGGATTTGGTCTCAGCCTTGTCTTTGAAAATCACACTGTCACATTCGAAGGCCGAGCCTCCGAAATGCAATCGTAAATTCCGCTAGGACCCTAAAGGTCTGACGTGGAATTAAGGTTGCATAAGGAGGTGAGGCTGAGAATGTGACAGTGTCCCACCCTCCCAGTGCAGTAATACCCCAGAACACTGTCACAGTAATCCATTCAAGAAACGGCTCAGAAAGGCCAAAGAGATTCTGGGAAGGGTTGGTTTTGGCGGGAAATGAGGTGGAATGTGTTTGTCTTTAAAACGCTATGAATTATATGAAAACGGAGCGATTTTGGGCCTAACACACTGTCACATTCTCAGCCTCACCTCCTTATGCAACCTTAATTCCACGTCAGACCTTTAGGGTCCTAGCGGAATTTACGATTCTTGACGCTTGTGGCTCAATGTAGCTGAACCATCGGACCTTATTCGTCAGCTTGGATCACGTGATCCATCCAGCTGCCGGGTGCGGCAAACAGCCCAAATAGCGCTAACTCTGGCCTGCGAGAGTTTGCTGGGACAAGCGCGCTAGCCCTCGTGACATACACAAACGCGCTAGCCAGAATGCTTTGACTTTGATGGCTTTCAGCTTCTATTTTTTGAAAAGTAGCGCGCTCAGACCAGCTCGTTCACTCTTTTCCTCTTCCATTTTTTAGGGCAATTGTTTTGTTTGATAGACGAAGCTTAGGGTCCCTTTGGGTTTGCAACCCTTACCCTCCTGGAAAAAATCATAGTTGCTAGACTGCGACACTTCAGACCAGGTACTATTAGAGCCGCTAATGGACGACGAGCTATTTTCCGCTATCCGGAGCTCAAGCATTTGAGCCGCTAAATGGACGAGACTCCTGGGGTAAAGGATGCAGAGAATGAGGAGAAAACACTCGTATGGAGCAGGGAGTAGGTATTGTACTACTTCCTGGTATGGAGCACTGAGAAGCGGTAAGTCTTAGGGTAATTCTTAGCCAGTAATTACTTTCTCGCCATAATTATGTTCTCGTTTTTCGTGTCTTCTGTAATGCCAGTACACTAGCAGTACGACTACACTGTAGGCGAGAGTCCATAAGCCAGAGTGTGCAGCTCTCCATCTATGCAGCATAAACAAATTCATGACAAATTTCCTTTGCCTAAGGGCTGGGTTCCACTGCCGCTCCGCCGCACATCATCCACGGCATGAAACGTCATCATTACGAGCTGGTCCAGCGAGTCAGCGGCTCATCACCAGCTTTCGCTTCGCTGCTTGATACAAAAAAATGCAAGCCGCGGTCACGGCTTGCATTGTTTCCCGCACTTAATTGTTTTATTCGGGGGAATTTTAATTCGTTGCACAGGCCAGAACACGAGGATTTTTTTGGATTTCACGCGTGCGCAGGCAGGCTAAATGTCATAAAAAAACGTCGAGCACGATCGCGGTACCGTGAATGGCGAGTGTCACTGGAACCGCGCCGCTCTGCTGCATGCAGCCAAGTACCGTGGAGCTGCAGAGCCGCAGTGGAACCCGGCCCTAACCAAACTTATAGCAATTTGAAAATGTTTGACAATTTTTCATAAAAAACTTGACAACATTGTTCTTCTGTAGAGTGCCGCTGGCAACTCCATCAATGAGCGCAGGGATAAAGTTTAGAAACCCTTCGAGCGAGAACGTGTTTTCAAAAAGGAAGCACAAATATGCCGCGTAACTTTCCCTCTAGGATGGCCCAATCAAAGCCACTCGCTGACTACTTACCAGTAAAATGGTGTTGGACGGTTGTCAGATTAGCTGACATGTTTTCTGCCAACACAACCATAAGCAGTTGTCAACTCTCAAGACTAAAAGAGCTTGCGAAGAAAGTGAGAAACCTTGGCTATGAAAGCACATGAAGCGTCAGAACATAATCGAGCAAACTTGGACCTAGATTACCAGTGTCTGCTCCAGAGCCGGGTCAGTGGCCCTGTTTGTGAGTACTTGGACCTTTTGGAAAAAGAACACTGGGTTACCTGCGACCCGGTCGGAAGTCCTGTCGAGTACTATACTTTTTTTATACTTCGAGGGTATACCGCCACTGACAGGCTGCATACGCGTGCAGATGTGTGCGGCCAGAGTGCCCAGTGCGAGTACGTTCATACATGTACATGTACAATCATGTACATCAGGAAGTCGAAAGTAAGTTTACGACTCCCTGACACACAGTAGCCGCACTTGAACGCATCTGGCTCTTGCCCAGTGTTGCAGGAATTGTGCCAGGTAGACGTGTACCCGGTTTGTGTGAAATCTTAGAACAGGTACTGCATACCCTATCATATCTGTGTACATGGGTATACAGAGTCAGTGTTGTTGCGTCCCACTCAGCACCCTTCTGGTTCATTTCGGCACCAGCACTCTTTGCGTATGCAGAGTTGAGTAGAGTGCAAGTTCGGACCACAAGCACACTGTAGCAGCTAGTAGCAAACCTAACCTGTGCCGTGATGCACGGTACTTGTGTGCATCTACTTCATCCCTGAGTAACCCACCAGGTATATGGTGCACAATAGGGCACAGTAAATAGTCAGCATGCATCGCAGTTTTCTGCAACATACATGTATTCCTGAAGTCACTTTACACCTCAGAAGAATTGCGTCGCTAACTGTTAGTTATTCCCTGGGTCATTATGAATCATAGAAAACCCGTCATACAATAGGTTCAAGCTAAAGTACCGTATCACCATGATAATTCCTGGAAATTCGGTGTGTTTTCTGCCTTTCGTTAAACAAGCAGCAATGTGCAACAGAAATTACCATGGTGATACAGTAGATGACCGTGTGAAGCGGTGTGAGATGCAGCAAAGGTGAGCCTGTTACTGTGAGTCTATGCCCTAAACAATAAACTTTGCCGTGGGAGGCTCCTTGGGCTGCACACTCTGCACACTTATTGCTAGGTATATCATTGGTCTTGTTCGGATCGTCCATTACGTTTGCAGCTGTTCAAACTTGTTTTGTTGTTTATTATTTTATTGATTTATTTATTCTACTTGCCTTTCCTATCTTCTTGTGTTTTAGCATTAGGTGATTTGATCGTAGGACAAGAGAGGAGCTGATGGACGATCTCTCCAGTGTCCCTCTTGGTACGGAGCAGCGCTGAGTGCTGACGTTGGGACTTGGGTAAGGATGAGTGTTCCCTCATGTTTACAAGTTATCCGTTTTTTCCAACACTAACGGTTATATGCAGAATACTGCTGAGTCAAAAATGTGCAACAATTAGCACAAAAACTGACTGATGAGATCCTGACATTCAACGACCTGATGCTTAGCTGCATCACGTTTATATCCGTTAGTGTTGGACAAAACGGATAACTCGTAAACTGATGGTCCTCTTTTTTTAATTTTAATCCTTGGCTCTCCATCCGAGTTCCCTCGTGTGTGTAAAAAAAAAGTAAAGTTTGCACGTCCGCGTTACCACCGGCTATACAATTGCGTTGAGAAACACAACCAGCTTAGGAAGTTTCGCATGTGCCAGGCCACCACCATGCCTGTGCTACCAGGGTGGCAGATGCAGCGCCTAACGGCGAGGGTGAGGTGGTAAGTCTCACAACCAATGCCCGACAAGGGGCTAACCTCGTTAGCTGCATCCATGTTACCCTCACTCCGAGTAGTGAGTACCCAGTTGACAGTGGGTGTCGGCGCAGTTCACTGCATGTAAAGTGGTTCACGCATGCATCACCGCATTTGCTAGCACAGTATACGCTCCCTGCTCCCAGCGCGGGTCTCGAACTCGGGACCTTGTGATTCGCAGGCAAGCCCACAACCACTCGGCCAAAGCGCTGGTACTTTATTAATTTTGGTGACAGTCAATTTTTTCTTCAGACTTTTCCCGTTTGTGTCTTTCCCTCAAACTAGTCAATATTTTTATTTACTTATTTTTTTGCCCAGGGTCTACATTCTACATTTATTTTACTTAGACTAGGGTTAGCTGTCCGTTTACCAGTACTCATCCACACATATGTGCACATAGGGTCTACATAGAACTCTATCAGTAGATATTTTGTGTATAGGGGGTTGTCTATCCACCGAGATAGCACTATATACTCCCATTCTGTGTGTTCTCTGGTAGCTATGTCCCTTGGAGACTATACGGTGCCAGTGTGGTGACCGAGGTCAGGCCGTGTCTGCACTGGCATCGTCAACTTTGCCTACTGCTACGTGCTCCCCAGTGCTCCATCTGTGTCCTATAATTTGTTTGGGGAGGGGGGGGGGCAATACCGGTACTTCAGGTGCAGGGGGCAAGAGGGGAATGGGGTGAGGGGACCTCATGCCCCCAATGAACCTGTCCAGGCGTTGTTCTGGAGTAGACTAACCATAGGCGGAGTGTACACATGCAGCACATAGTTTGGGAGCTAGAACGCGATCAGGCATATTCAAAGGCAGTCTATTGTGATAGTAGTCCTGGACTGATCTCACTATGATGATATAGGTCGTGCCCAGCATCACAATGCCCAACATTAATGACTGTTTTTTTGCCTGAGGGGCTAGATGAGCATGCGGCTAGACTGCCGATGGCAACCAACAGGCTCAAGGCTGTGTGGAGACTTCGTGTGAGCGACCCAAGTCAATTGTTTACTCACCATGACTAGGCATCACATTGAGCATTGTATGCCCACTAGTATATGTCACTGTTCTTAGTCGCACCGGGGGCGCATGCCCGTTTTCAGGAGACTTCTCAAAACACATAAGCCCTGGGTCCTGAAGGTTAGGCCTATTGTTAGTCTGAATAGTCCTGGCTACTATCCCGCTAAGTTCATTCACTTTCTTCTGAACCCGCATGTATGTGAGGAAAGTACTGTTCTGACCTCAACTGCGGATTTCATCAACTTGGTAGAAGGTTTGCCTGTGCGGGACGATCATTTATATTTGAGTATAGATGTGACCAGCCTTTACACCAACATCCCCAACGAGCTCGGTCACGTGGCATTGTTGTGGTATATCACATACAGGTGTACAAGGTGGATGCCCCTGGCCCTTCGTACATGGTTAATAACAGCAGTGACTTCCTTGATGTCAGTCATTCGGAAGAAAAATGAGTTTGTGTATGGTAACGATGTGTTTCGGCAGATCCAAGGGACTGCCATGGGTTCGCCTGCAGCAGTGGTCTATGCCGACATTGTTATCATGCGGCTGTATTTGGAGAAGTGGTACGTTTTTCCGATCTTAGAGGGGGAGGGTTTAGAGGTTCAGGTTTATAGACGCTTTATCATTGCATGGTTGCGAAGGTCAAGTTCAGCGCACTTTAGATAGGATTAATAAGTGTTCGGCCCTCAAGTTTGCTCATGAACTGGCACATGATGGCATTGATTTCCTGGACACCACAGTTTTCCGTAGTAAGGGATACATGGCGGTGAAGCCCCATTTCAAGTTCACCAATCGTTTCCTGTATCTGCTTGTCGGTAGTAACCACCCCTGTAGTATGGGAAAAGGTGTGTTCACTGGGGAGTTGATCCGTATCCGTCGGTCTTCGACCCTTGACTACCACTACGAAGCTTCTGCCGAGCCGCCGGAGCAGGCTTTCCGGGTCCGTGTATACAAGCGCTCCATCTTTCATCTTTCAGACCCGTACACTAGGAATGGATGCGCAGGGAAGGTATGTTGGTCAGATTGGCATGGGTTTGGGTTATTTCTGTAGTTGTGTACAGTGCTCCTCATTGTATTTACCTGGGCCCGGCCTGCTGTCCTTCGCCCGTTGGTCTTGAGGTCCAGGTGTAATACCCCTACCATACAGTCCGGTGGCCAGTGCGGCCCGGCAAATTGTTGTTGCACGGTGGAACATCGGCAAGAGGTTGCTTGCTCGTTTGCCTCATGCTCAGTGTCCTCAGGGAGTTAGTATTTTCCTCCTGTTTGGATTTTGCAGTGTCTATGGTGTCGGTAATTGAGTTTTTGTTCTGTATGCTTTTCTGTGGTGTGTGGCCGTTGTTCACACATCTTTATTTGACTTGCTTCCTGGTGTGGTGTACCCTTTTGTTTTATATTGGTGTTGGTCTGGCTGTAGAGTTCTAGCATCCGTAGCTGCCTCAGGGGGTGCCACTTCTCCCATCAGCGTCGACTAGTCCGCCGGTACGTGGTGTTTTATTACGTTTAGTTGTCTGTTCCACCCTGTACGGGCTGTGTCCTGCTGACCACACAGTCTGGGTCTCCATACTTTGCATGTTCTCATCGTGTGTAGTGTTCACACATACATATATGGACTGTCACACCCATATGTTGTACATGTGGCTGCACGTGTTGTCTCTTTGTCGTACCTGCTGCTGTATTTGTGTCTCTGTGCTGCTGACCCGTACATGCTGCTGCGCTGCTTTGTTGTATTGCTGACACGTGCACCTTTTTGTGCTGATATGATATCGAGTACGCCACTTTTTGTGCTGATGAGGGCACCACTTTCCGATATCATGTTTCCTTTTGCCATGTCAGTTGTCAGTTCTCCCATCGTCTCCTGAAGTGTAGTAAATGAATAGCTCTCTCTCTCTAGCTCTAGAGAAAAACCACTTGACTAGTCCGTTGATGTGTGGCGTGGCGAGGGTATAGTAGAGGCAGCTCGTTCTCCAACCGAGACGACATTTGGCGCCCAACGTGGGCTCAAACCCACGACCCTGAGATTAAGAGCACATACGCATATCATCACTCTTCCTTGCAAACATCATTTCCGTCTCCACCACGTCCTTATCAGCCTGATCCATGGCTGACACCCCCAAGGCACTGTCCACTGTGCCGCCGGGCTGGTGGAGCGACGGACCGATTCTCCAGTGACGGTCGTCGTCCACAAGGCTGTTGGAGTGCGCATCCAAGATGTGCTAGAGCTGTTCAGTGTCGTGCAATAGCTATCGCATGAGCTGATTGTTTAGTAACTGGTGGTGTTAGTGGACAGTATAGCGTAACTTGTAGTTCCTTGGTCTTTCTCTTTTGTATAAACAAACTAGTAAGCTAACGATAAACTAGTTACACTGAGACAATTCGACTGGCACAAATTACAACAAAATCACATGCAAAAAGTCCTTTCACTTTTACTACTGCTCGTTGTGTGCCAACCACCATCATCAGTGTGCGCATTGCGCCTGGTTTGGTGCATGCCTGGTGGAATCTGACATAGCGGCTGATGCAGTGAGCACGTCAGGTAACACCTAACGCATTGAAAATGACTCAACTATGACTTGGTTCGATTGCAAAAAACCTAATGATAGTGGTACCGAAACATTCGGGTAACCGGAGTAAGTGCCAATTGATATTTTTGGCTCCAGTCAGTCAAGTGATTCAATTGCAATAAAATTATATACGTATGGTGGAACTCACTTAGTACGTACCCGGGTAAGACATACACCTGCATAACACGGTCCTCTTTTGTCGCACGGATTTTCCTCCCATAAGCGCATATTCAGATGTGTACGGATACGACTGCTTCCTTCTGTTCATGTGGTTCATTGTCGCTGTGTTACTGTATGCAGATCTCACTCAGCTCTGCTCTCCGAGCATGCTGCTTCCAACACGACTTCCCGAAAGGTATGTATGGTGGCTAATAATGCGAGAGTCTTTACAGATTCCAGTGCTCTCATGCCTTTTGCAAGTTCCTTTTGTAAGTCAAATGGAACATGGTTTGTGGTCAATACTTCAGCAGTAGTGGTGCGAGAATATTCGGGTGTCAAATTGCTCGGAATTGATGTATGATAACGGAGAATATACCAACATGTGAATCACTTGGAGATATGGTTTGCCAGGTTCTGTTCACACTCACTAGGCTAGACCCTCTCGAATATTGTACAACAGTTTTGGCCCAGGAGTAGTAAAGGGCACGGGGCAAGCTATGTCGGGACCTGCTGTAAAGTCCGCCATACACGAGCTGTACGTCTTATCGGATGGGATATACCCCTGATATTGCTGATAATGAATGGCCCAGTTTCATTGTACTGCTGTCCGCGATATTATATCCTTAGTGGCATTGTTAACTTCTCATTGCTTGTGGGGACGCATGGATCATACGTCCATCCAACACCTGCCAATCGGAACCCACCGACAACGCTGTCGGTTGGGTTGGACCACAATCGGTTGGTTTTTGAGTCCAAGATGCTGCCTAGGTAGCACACAGCATTGCTAATCTGATTTTAAATTAGCTGCGCAAATCCTGGCATACTGCCCGTAAATGCATCTAACTCCCATGGTGCTTATGAGTTTTTAGGTCTATGTGGTACTTGTGTCGCATTGGCAGCCACTGTTCCGTTCTGTATTTTCTGGTGTATGTGTCGTTGAATCTCCACAGAAAATGTGCTCGCGCATTAGGAGGTGAAAGATGCACCTGCAGGAGAATACATGCTAAAGAGAAGGCAGAAACATGCCCGGATCCACCAGAACTAGTGCTGGCAAGTCAACAGAGGCGAGTACTGATAATGTTCCAGATTGTGGTAGGATCACATAAGCAAAATTGACACTGGGAGACACGACGGTGGGTCAGCTCATGGCCAGCGCCAATTCCAGTGGATATCACGTGCATCCAGTTCTAGTACTATAGTATGACTGCTACAAAGTAGTGCGGCCCAAATAGAACTCGGGTCAGGTGCCGAAGAACTGGGGGGGGGGGGGGGGGACATGTGTCGATGAATGGTAATAACTCCGGAAATCATGCTGGTGTATCGAGGGCGTTGGCCAGTGAAGTGCTGGATTGATGGTGGACGACTGTACTGCAATCTTGGCTGGTCCCACTATCGCAGAGACAGCACTTCCTGGTGCAACCACCCTATCCTGCAATCTACATAATAATTATTATAAGAGATTTGTGTGAACGATTTTAGCATGATGCAAGTCAGCTTATTGTGCTGGGGGCCTGGCTACATGTCACTATAGCTTTTTATAGACTCAATCACCGCATTACGCTGCCTTGCGTTGACTTGATTGAGCACTCTTTTTGGTTAGTGTCAAAGGTATATGTAATATGTATCTGCCTTTGTGCAAAGCTCTCTTTGTACGTGTCTTGCAGATAGCTCGCTGACTTTGATGCTTTGAGCCATTTTCAAATTGCTTTTTTTTGTTCATTTCATATAGACCGTATTGCCATTTTGTTTAACCTCCCGCTCTGAGCTCCACTGATGAGACCTAAAAAGGTTGAAACAGCTGTCCGGAGATTGAGCGTCGGTATTATGGATTTAGAATACACGATCTGGGGACAGCACTAGTACTGTCTAGCTGTTTCGTCCTTTGTGGACTCATCAGCGAATCATGGAGAAATAACTCTCAACTAAGGATGAACCTAGCAGCCATGAAAATAGATAAATCATGCCTCCAAGCCAGAATTCAAGGCTACAGTGTAGGCCCGAATGTCCCTTGCCCGAGTGCTGAAACTGATAAGTCATTGAGATACGCATAGAACATCTGGCAAAGGAACTACTAAAGCCCCCACAAGCACGATAATCTACTTCAACAAGGAAGAATTTTGAAAGCATGCACAGCCCTACATGTATAATGTTGGTATAGGTAAGCCTTGTTTGATAAATTAACATGTTGATCGGTTGACAGCATGTTACAAGGCGGGGGACGCACTGTGTAAGAAAACAGTGCTCCTGATACACTAGTGTGTCCTCGGCTTTGTCACATGCTGTCACATGCTGTCAACCGATCAACACGTACAACGTTGCATGCAAAACGGCTGCAGCCTCGAAGTACGGAGTGCTATTTTGGAAAATGCTAGATATACAGCCTGTACTTATACAGGTGTTCTATCAACTAGTGCCATTATGACAACGGTAGCTGAATGATACATGTACATAAACCCGGGGTCATCATTGCAAGAACCTCTGGATCTAAGCCCGAAGTAACATTCAACTACATGACTGTATACACCATCATGTATACACCATCTTCGTAGACTACCCCTCACCCACTACTGCCACTGTGACCACAATTGCGCACAAACAGAGGACCTTAGAGGACCTACTTCTAACTAGAAATCCAATTTATGAATAAAATTGCGCCGGGCAATACGCAGCCCTAGTAGTTTACATACTGGACCGGTCTGTGCTCTAAGGCGCTACTTTATTAACGAGGTTGGATTTCTCTGGCCAGCACTGTACAAAATACACACATGCACACACAACACTGCTAGCACACAACACTGCTAGCACACAACACTGCTAGGCTTTCACTAGATTTTGAAACCGAAGAGTGGCAAAATTCAGGGCCAGACTTGAAAATCTGGGGGGACCTGATGGGTTTTTTAAGCAAAACACAGTCAACACTCTACAGCCTCACAGCCGGCCTCAGGCAGGTTTTCACGAGTGCACAAAATTAAAAATTGTTGATGCACCATGAATACAGTCGGGCGTCACAGACCGTGACCCAGGAATGTACGTGTATACCTCTAGGAACACCACAGCCAATAACGTTTTAAAAAGAAACGCAGTGTCAATAGACTCTAGTCTCTGCTTTTCTGGAATACAGATTCTGCTACACACGTATTGCTCACTATCCAGTGGGATGTGCATCTAAGAAAGTGGTACAAGAAGTCAAGGAACTAAGCCTAAGGCCAGATTGCTGAAAGGTTTTGTATAAATGACGAGCCTGACCCCTTGGAAACAACAGCCGTGGATGCGTGGCTCTACTGTAATAAATGTACAGGTACACAAACAATTTGAATGCAGAAATAACAACAAACAGGGAGAGGTGTAGGAAAATATACTCGGACCCTAGTGAATTTGCTTGTGTATTAGCTTGAAAACTTTGGGTACACTTGTTGAGAGACCTAACTGCATGCAGCTAAAATATGGAGTGCCGTTGTCACTGACGACTTTTCCAGTAAAGTCGCGGCTAAGATCTTCTCAGGTATTCCCGGGTCTTCGCTAAGGGGGGATGATATCATGTGCGTCTTCTATTGCTGATGTCGCTACGCTCGATGGTGGTGCTGATGTACTGATTGTGGTGGAAGATATCGAGATGCCGTATGTCTCGAACCTTTTCGCCAAGTCTCCGCGGCCATCGCGCAAGAGGGTCGGGAGCACCACAACTGCAACGCCACAGATCCAAGGATCGATTCTCGGACAAAACATTTTTCAGATTGCCAAAGGTCCGTCCCCAGTGCTTGGCAATACTGGCCTGTACAGCATGAACACACCACACATACGCCCACACACCATGTACCATGTAAACGCCCGTTCCAGAAGCATGCAAATCAGCAAATGAATTGAATGTGCACCCACAGATTTTCTCGCATAGGAACAATAGCTGATCTGAATCTGACAAAACAGATCAAGACTAGTGCCAGATAACAGTCTAATCCGCACAAGGCAACCGGCGCAGCCCTGTGAATCTCGAGCAAAATGGACAAACATGTCCCCAATTATCAGCAAACGGGTGTGCGTTACAGGATTGGCCTGGCAACTTCAAACAGGCACAATCCACTAACGTGGTGCCCCGTCAACTTCAACGGGAACACACCGATACAAACACAGCCCCACAACAGCAAAACGGGAACGCCGTTACAAATATGGTGCCCTGGCAACTTAACGGGAACGCACCAACACAAGCTGGTCTGGCACCTTCAAACAGGCACAACTGACAAAACACGGCATCCGGCAATAGCAAATGGGTAGGTACACCGTTACAAGAACAGTCCATCGCACCAAAATGCTGCTGCCACAACATTATAGCAGCAGCAGCACACCAGACATGCATACATGGCATTCCCAAAAGCAGATACCTGGAGTCAAATTCATCCATCACACTGTTTGTTACGGCTGAATTTTCCAGTGACAATAGCAAATCCCGCCTAAGGCACATGTGATGAGATCTGTGCACCAACTATAGTCACAGAATCAATGCACATTAGTAGAGCATAATAACTCACTTGCGCTCATACCCTGTCACGTAGAGATGCTACTCTACGTGTACTGTTCCGATGTCCATTGGGCTGGTCAGTGCTGCCAAACCGTCCGATTTTCGAAGGCTCTTCCGAAAACCGGTCCGAAAAGGGAAACGTCCGAAAAACAGCCAAAATGTCGGAGATCATTACTTTCATATGCAGAAGTCCTGTACTTTCACTTTTCAGCGCAAGTGAAGGCACAAATCACTGTACATTTGCTTCTAAAAAGGCTAGCGCTTGGCTGTGGAAGTGCAAAGTAACATGCCTGGATCAGGCTGGATGGCATGTACACTGACAGTCTGTACAGAGTCAGTGTGCGACCACACTCATCATTACAAAATTCATGATGACTCCGGGGTTACCATGGCAACAAAGCGAATTTTCATGGTGTTTTAGGCGATATTTTGAATTCTCTGTAAAAAAATTGCCGAGGAGAAAAATTCGTACCATGTGGCACTGGCCAGCCTTGTCGGTGAAGGGTGTCCGATTTTGGGCGAAAATTATTTGGCAGCACTGGGTGGTATACCGGCCACTTGCCAGATGTAGAGCTTTTAAGCCATACTTTGGCACCGTCTGCTTGCCGTATCACCACCTCACTTGCAACTCTGGATTCCAGGACTGTCGCTCCAACAATGGGCATGGAGCAGGAGCTAACCTGATAACAGTTGAGAGCGTGACAGAGTATTCTTATTTAAATAAGGCCGAGTAAGGTGGATCCCTTTGGCAAAAGTGAACACAGGCTTAGTGCTACAGGCATGGGCTGTTATGTACCGGAATAGCCAATACCGGGCATGTTTCGTCGACAGTAGATGGAACTGCGACGACTCCACCATATATGGCCGCGTCTTAGTGACCTTCAGGCGCAACGTGACCAAGTCAGGTGCGAGACTCCCAGCCTCCCACACAAATACTCTTTGGCTGTCAAACGAGTGAATACTAGTAGATGATGCTAAATACTCGCTGGCAAACAATAAGCCATACAAGGCCAGGAGTACATTTACCCACAGCATAGCCTGATCTACAATATTGTTGAGTTCGCAACAGGACGACTGACGACATATCCAGACATTACAACGGGAACAAGTTAGTGGGAACGACATTTATTATACTAGTAGACGACGAGACAAGAGACCAAGACGAACGAAACGACTACATTGAAGAGTGAGGAAAGAGAGAGAGAGAGATCAAGTCTGAACGGCAAGATAAAGGGCCTGGGTAGCTATGGCAAATATGGGCGCGCAAGTAGCTACCCAGGCCAACGGAACAAAAGGAGACAAAAGGTGAGTACGTAAGTGCATGCAGGCCAGCTAGAAAAGGTACGGGAGGAGGTACCTAACATACAACCCCTCCATGAAAAAAAATCCCGCGTCCTCGCGGACAGAAAAAAAAGAGAGAAAAAGATTTTTTTAAATGAACTGGAGGAGAAAACACACACACACACACACACACACACACATACTGCACGCGCGCATGGATCTCACGAAAGTGTGTACTAAAAATGCACTCGTACACATCATTCCTGTACTACTTATTGTGTGTAATAACTATTGGAGTTTGACGAGGAACGTGAATTACTAGTATTTTGCACGGCTAAAACAGCTAATTACACTTTTGCTAAACATCCAAAAATTAGAGCGTGGCTCACCATGATCGGACCCCTAACTTGGTTATGTTTTACGAACACACGCGCGCGCACACACTACAAAAAAATTCACGAAAATAAATTTGACGAAGAAGCATACAAAAAAAAAGAAAGAGAGAAAGGTAGCTGATCTGCATGGCTTGAACGAGAATAGACGAGGTAAGGTTGGCGTAGGAGAGACGAGGTTGATAGAGACGAGACGAGGTTGGCGTAGGAGAGACGAGACTGACATGGACGAGACGAGGTTGAAATAGACGAGACGAATGGTGGTTGAGGACGGCTGGGCATGGGATGATCTCAGGGTCGTGGGTCGATCAATAATCGGGCGCCAATGTTGAGTTCGAAACAGGACGACTGACGACATATCCAGACATTAGAGAGGTTCCGCATAACGTAATTACGTTAGTAAAAAACGTAGTCGATCTACGGAAAGTCTTACGTAAACTGCATGCGCATCTGCGTTCCGCCATACGGAGTTTTCAAATCACGTAGCTGCCCTTGGCAACTCCGAACGCGGCAGTGTACGACCAGATCGACCTGGGGAGAGAGTCATAAATTTGTACCCCAATCCACTTACGGACCAGCTACGTTATCAGAGCCCTATCTACGTACTCTACGTAGACAACTTTCCGTAAGTGGAGTGCAAACTCGCGAATTCACGGGTTTTCCCCGCGCACTAACGTAAAGTTGCTCAACTTTACGTAGTGCGGAACCTCTCTAGTACAACGGGAACAAGTTAGTGGGAACGACATTTATTATACTAGTAGACGACGAGACAAGAGACCAAGACGAACGAAACGACTACATTGAAGAGTGAGGAAAGAGAGAGAGAGAGAGATCAAGTCTGAACGGCAAGATAAAGGGCCTGGGTAGCTATGGCAAATATGGGCGCGCAAGTAGCTACCCAGGCCAACGGAACAAAAGGAGACAAAAGGTGAGTACGTAAGTGCATGCAGGCCAGCTAGAAAAGGTACGGGAGGAGGTACCTAACAATATGACTGATTGGATAATTGTAAGTATTGCCGAAAATGGATTAAGTCTTCCACTAAAAGCTCTTTGAAACTTGGCTGTTGAGCCAGTATGGCAATAATACAATTAATGTAGAAAGGAAAAGGACGTATGGATATGAGTAGGCACTTCAGGCGGTTTTTTCAAAACCAGAAATACTCGTATTTCTTTCTTGTATCCGATTCAGATAGGTTTAGGAAGACTCCACAGAAAATTTGAAGCAAAAAGAATAACTTGGCACAGAGATATAGCCATCCAAAGTCGGAGAATTGAATAACGGCAATTTCAGTATTTCGACGGCACCAGCAGCATATCAGAAATTGGTAGGACTTGCTTCAGTGTCTATAGTGGCAAAATACCAGGCTCGCTGGAAGCAGGTCAAAATAACCAGATGAATGCAGAAACAGCATGGTTTGGAAAAACTTCGCATTTTTCATCCGTCCAGCAGCTCAGACGAAGATATCGGGTGTGGTCACCATGGCAACTCCATCGCAACAGCATGAAAACAGTGCAGAGAAGCCTTTGGAAAAGCATAAGATGAGACTTTGAGGTAAGATAAAGTAACTACAATAATTCAGTGCCAGAACACATTGTTGCTACATGTACAGTACTGAAGTGGTGACGAATACGGAAGAACAATGAGCCGAAGACTGAGCAAACTAGAATTTTACCGCGTATTTGACGGAAAGAAATGACAAACTATTACATGTAGAACATCGTTTGCAAATGTTTGGGACTGCTGAAACTTCAGCAACTCCAGCATGAGAGATTTTGTGCATAGAGTGTGTGCTGGATTCTTGGTATAATATCACCGTCAATGCTTTTCTTGGTCGCTGGAAGCCACCTGCTGATCAGCTGACGATTTGTTCCAAGCAGGCCGTTTTGATGTCAGCTCTCTTGGTCCAGTCGCCGAAGTATATACTGTCCTACTCGTCGCCTGCAGGAGAGGACGACTGCTCCGATGCGACTCCAATATAATTATAACACCTGGCAATATTTCTTCTTGCGCAGCCATGCGCATGGGCTCCGACGAACAAGGACTACTGCCGGGAGGACGCCTGTCGCGGCTCGCTTTCAATAACACCTCGCATTATTTCTTCTTGCGCAGCAATGCGCAAAGTGTTGGACAAACGAGGACAACTGATTCCGAAAGGAAATACGACGCTGAAGACGATGAGCTACATGGCAAATGCGTGCAATCAAGTGAAATGCCCGAAAAATCCTTGCCGATTTTACTCGAACTGTACGTGAGTTCAAAAAATTGCCGCATCATGACGTATGTGGGCTCAAACGAAAGCTGAGGGCCTCAGCTACACGCTGCGCCACACGAGAAGGCCCTGCGCAGCTTCCGTGCAGCTAGAGATCGATCTATGCATGCGCCTTTCCGCGGTGCCACGCATGTACGCGATTCAGCGTTAGCACTTTTTGACAGGTCGTGTCACGTGACTGAAGTGCCTAATATGAGTGTAGAGTAACTGTCACTATACTAAATACAGTCAGAAAGTGCAACAACCAGGCACTAAAACATTTGACGACCTGACTCCTGGCTTCAACACATCTCCGTAGTGTTAAGGAGAGACCAAAGAGGGAAAGGTAATACTGGTTTCGTCATCGTCCAGTAACAATCAACATTTCTTGTTCATGTGGGACTGTAGCTTCAACTACTAGCTTGTGCTCATTTTCGGTGCGCTTACCTTCCCCCCTTTGGTCTCTCCTTTTAACCTTGAACCTTCCAAGTTGGAAGGCTGTTGGTTAGCGCTGCGGAGATGTGTTGAAGCTAGGAGTCAGGTGGTCGAATGTCTCAGGTCAGTTTTGTGCCTAGTTGTTGCATTTTTTTTACTATAGTATATAGTTACAGTGGTGGACAGTTACTCTTAAAGGGGAAGTCCGGTGAAAAATTTAAATCTCACAGTCCGTAGAGTTCGGGTCGCTGAGTCGAATGGTCTTTGTCCGAGGAGGCTGCGGCTTATGGTTCGTCAGATACGCCCAATCGAACATGTGCGAATTTGAGCGCGCATCACCCAGATCCAGGTGATGACGTCACAGCGTGCAGCCAGGTAGCCACACCATCTAGTTGTGTACAAAAATGGCCATATTCGGAACGCGTTCGATTGGGGAACCGTTTGTCGCAGCTTCTTCGGACCAAGACCATTCGATTCAGTGTTACAAACACTACGTACTCTGTGATTTTCAGCTCGGTAAACCTGGAGGTTATACCGTATTTTAGCCGTTTCCGAGTTGGACTTTTCCGTCAGCCCGTCTACCATGGTCTACGGCTCTACGCGCTCTGCGCTGCGTGCATGCAGTGCGTGCAGTGTGTTATCTAGCTGTAGTGCAGTCAACAAACTCATGTCACAACTGACACAAGACTCAGAAAACTAGTCAACACACGGACTTGTCATACACTCGACTCGCATCAGTCGTATTGTACAGTCATGTAGTCAGAGAACGTGCGTTTCTCCTTGCCGGTGCCGGTGGTTGTGCTTTGAGAAAGAAAATTTTAGTTTTCCGCACCCGCCTCATTATTTTATGCTACAGCGATGAGTGCACAACCGTGACAAGTGACAAAACAGCGAACAGCTCCCGGACCTAGAACTTTCAGATTCCATAGCGTTGCGAGCGAAGAATCGTGCCCGTGGTTCAAAGAGCCTGCACTGTTCTCCTATTGAGTAGTCCGAAATATTCCAAGTTCGCACCAAAACATCACCATGTGGCAGGCTACTGGAGTCTAAGCGAATCTAATCGGTATGGAACAACATTTAGAGCACTCGCATCACTCTTCTCCATTTTGGCGACCCTGCTCTCCAGCGATCTGATAATTACATCAGCCTCGTCTGCAATAGATGCTGCTTCTTCATCAGTCGGAAACTCAGTAGCGCTGACTCTTGACCGGCCCGTGCGGCCATTTCTTCAGCTGAATACCGAGGTTCTCAGCCCCAGACCGAACTCATGAAGGTCAGCCATGGCTGCATCCTCACTCTCACAAGGAGTTACAGGTCTTCGGGGTCGCTTGCACCACCTAATATCAGTCACCAAATCATTTGAAATAGCACTGACACTATTGCTTTCACGCACTCCTTTTGACCTAGCTGCACGCTATGACGTTGCAGAGGGTGTGGCGCGGCCGCATGACGTCATGGCGCAGCCCCCGAAACTCAGTTTTTCAAACGGAAATATCTCGAGAACGCTTTGTCGGAGACACGTGGGACCAACACCATTCGACTCAGCGCCCGAAACTCTACCGACCCTGAAATTTAAATTTTTCACCGGACTTCCCCTTTAACTCGTATCCATATGTCCTTTTCCTTTCTACTAAAAGCTCTATCCGTGAATATACCGAGGCGGCTTGCCGTCTCTCTCTCTATGCCATGCAACACCGCTGTTGAGCGAGCAGCTTTTAGGCCAGCCCCATTGCACAACAGGTAATAGGCTACTAATAGCGTGACGCAGCTAGGCAAACACGAATCGATGAAAGAGGCAGACTTCTCAGAACAAAGAGACTAGTTGTGAAGGACACAACATTTTCAGCAGTCAGCAGTAGGAGAAATTGCCACAAGGAAATTGTTCTGGCAAAACTCTTAAGTAAGCAGCAATACTAGGCTTACACGTTTGTGTCATGCGTTCTGAGACAAAGTCCTTGACTAGCTCGTCACTGGCCGCACTCAGAGCCGCAGTCGTCACTACACATGGGTCGGGAAGCAATGGACAAAATTGACACTTGCCATGCACACATGCACTGCTTACCAGCTAAGTTAATATGTCATACTGTACTGCAGCAAGCAAGGAACTGGCAATACCTGCACCAGGCCTATCTACTGTGACCCATGCCATTGTGAATGAGAAGAGGCAGCATTTGACAGTATGAGCGGTGTGATGAACGGGAATGCATAATACAAGCCAGTCGAGCATTGGTACATGTACTTACGGACGCAAGTTGGCTGCACACCGCTCCACTGGCCGTTGATTTCACAAGTACGCACGGCCAAGCCCATAAGGACATAGGGAGATGTGCACACAAACGTGGTCGTGTTGCTGAGCATCAAGCCGTTCACGGTCATTGAGCCCAGTGCCGGTGGTAACAGGACCTGGCAGTCGGTTTGACCTGCACAAGCACAGAGTGCACAGAGCAGAGGCATTCAGTGCATGCATGTTTGGCCTAGGGGTGAAACGAGTGCCAAAATTGAAGACTCGAGTACTCTTTGAAAAAACGAGCGAGTACGAGTATTTTACTGACAACATAAAACAATGTACTGCACACACTCTCGTAACACTGAACGTACTACACCTGATACACATGTAGCCTTGCATGCAGCCTAGTGCAGGAAATAGTCTGAACTACTGTCTTTTGTTGGTAAGTAGGGACAAGCAATAATTTCACGCTTGCATGGGTTATCAGTACTGGTCAGAGTAACAGAAGTGCTTGATGGACAAGCATACAGTACACTGTGCATAAGATACTTCGAGTATTCTGCGAAACGAGTACTCACTCCTTTCGGATTTTCGAGCGAGCGCTCGAGTATTCGATATACTCGTTTCACCTCTAATACGTTTGCGTAGGTGTGCGTGGCACATACGTTGGTTTTGAATACATTGTAGTACACGCATTGTGTAAAGGAAATTGATGCGAATACTGCCTCAACATGGCCATGCAAAGTAATAGAATAGATACAGCAGTGAATAGCGGTCAACAGTAGCTCTACATTTTGCTTGTAATAGAAGTCATGGTACTACTATCAGTGCTGCTGCTGGTGCTTACCTGGAGATGGTGTGACCTTGCCTGGGCAGTACTGTGCATCAGAGCCATCAGCACAGTCGTACCAAACACCGTCGCATCGCTGTGATGGCAGGATACAGCCACTGGAACGCAGGCAGGGCAGGTAGCCAGACTGGCACTGCAGTTGAATGGCTGGATACATGTACCCATACACACAACACACAAAGCAGTCAAGAGATGAAGAAAGTGTCTGCTCGGCACATCTTTCGTACAGTCAAGAGATATTAGTATATTTGGAGGAGGTGGTAGCCTAAAACAGGCTCGACAAAAGTCACCGGCTTATGCCAACAACTCAGTGTTCTGGTACCAGGTGAAAAACCCTAACCATACACCTACAAGTATAACATATATCCTAAGGACTCAGGCTGAGATGCCCGACTGGTCCTGGGTCCTGTGATTAGCACGATCATCATTTGTGATGATGAAAAGTGGCAGGTAACACCCAGACTATTACATGCTCTGTAAATAGGAAAGATCAACACCACCAGAATCTGCCTTCCTACAAGCCTGAAGCTTCTCTACACAAGAGGGATATATTGGCTCTCTTGAAATTCAACTTACGATTACATGAGGCAGCTGCCCCACTCCAGGAACCGTCAATCTGGCAGATGCGCACAATGCTTCCCTGCAGGTTGTATCCGGAATTTCAGCCGAAGACGACGCTGCCTCCAGCAGAATAGTTTGTGCCCTGGGAGTAGCCGTTGGTCGGTTTAGCTAGCGGTGTGCACACACCGGCTGTACACGTCACAGGCACGTACACACACAGGCACGTACACACACAGACACACACACACACAGGCACACACACACACAGGCACACACACACACACACAGGCACACACACATGCACACACACACACACAGGCACAGGCACACACAGGCACACACACACACAGGCACACACACACAGGCACACACACACACACAGGCACAGGCACACAGGCACAGGCACACACACACACACACACACACACACACACACACACACACACACACACACACACACACACACACATACACACACACACAGGCACACACACACACACACAGGCACACACACACACACACACACACACACACACACACACACACACACACACACACACACACACCATCAGGAAACCAATGCCAACAATTAACATCTGCCATTGTGTGTACTTTGCGAGCACAACGTAAGGAAAACCAAGAAGAAGTAAACCAGTGTCTTGGAGAAGCAGTGGCCTTGTAATGTCCTTACTCCACAATATGCATTCGTTGTGTTACATGCCGATTTGATCACATGCTTCAACTTACGTCCAATCGTGCCGCATTGATATTCGTCTGTCTTGTCGGGACACTCAAGAAAACGCCATTGCAGAACTTGGATGAGGCCAGGCAGGTACCATCACGACATGGCTGGAAGCCACTCTTGCAAGGCGAGACCACTGTGCACAAAAACGTCAACAAAACAAAATCAGTAACAACGCAAATGTAGAGTATCACATCTTTACCTATACTCAGCAGGCGAAGAAACAACACTTAAAGAACTTGCCAAATAAACATTTCTTGCATGTACGCACAAAAAATGTTAGGGTTAGCACAACCAAATGCACACAGTGCGCGAGCAGCACTGACTACATTGCAGTACAGTCACGTACATGGTCCCAGTGTAGATCACAGAAGTCACAGCAAAGGACATCAGTAACGTTCCTTACATGTGCAGACAGGTGGTACACCATCCCACTTGCCACTCAGCTGGCAGGTGCGGGTGGCAGGTCCCTGGAGAACGTATGGCTGGTAGCAGCCAAACGCAATCTGGCTGCCACAGCTGGTCATGCTGGCTCCCTGGATGTAGCCATTTGGTGGAGTCTGCTGGGTCAGACAGTCACACACACACACACACACGCGCACGCGCGCGCGCACACACACACACACACACACACACAAGAAAGCAAGCAAGAAAGCAAATGAAATAGAACACAAATATTTGTCTTTCAAAGATATTCATCCAGCATCTAACAGCTGAGCAAAGGCCACTTACGAGTTCAGTAAGGGAGGAAGCATGTCTTTTGGTACCAAGACAGTGGAAAGGAAATCATTGCAGACTAAGGGAGTTGCAATGAGCTCTCCAGAGACCGACAGCAGTTTTTATGCCATCAGCTGGTAAAGATTTGGTGGGGAAAAAGGTGTCATACGTAGCAGACCAACTGACACTTCACTGGTGCTGCATTAGCACCTTTCACAGCTGTAAATCGCCTTGCATCTGAACACACAGCCCATGTCACACTCCATAGACTGTAGCCTGGCAGGCCGGCTGAGGTGTGAATACCATCCATTGCATCCAGAACACCTAGCTTACACTCATACACATGCAAGCCATGCAGTGGGGCTGCATGCCTGTCAACAGTGTGTGACACATGCATGCACATTCAGCCGCGATGCAGGAGTCACAGAACTATTTCACACTCTACACGCTCGTCTTACCTGATGCTGCAGTGCCGCGTGTGCTAGTGCGGTTGCTCTAGTCGGAGCCATCCGGGCAGTCATACCACACACCGTCGCAGACCTTGGTGGTCGAGATGCAACCACCACTGCCACCGCACTTGAACTCGTGGTACTTGCAGGGAATATCAGGGACTGAAGATAAAAGAGAAAGAAAATGAACACATCCGTCAAGGGACAATTGTTAATGATACGCTGCTACAAGAGCATGCTTCGTTTATCTTTGCACAGCAGTAGCTATTTAATATCATTCAAATAGATATTCAACACAATATTTGGCCTGCCAGCCTGATAGCATGATGGCATGATACCATGATAGGAGGTATTAGGAAGTATTAGGAACACATGACAGTAGCATTGGCACCGCTTACTTGAGCATGTAGCAGGAACGCCGCTCCACGTTCCGGAGACGTTGCAGTAGCGCACGGCGCTGCCCTGTAGTACGTAGGGTGCATTGCAGGCGAAGAAGAGACCAGTGCCGGGCGTGAAACCTGTTCCGGTCACCTTGCCGTTGAAAGGCGCTGTCAGTGCTGTGCAGTTCTTACCTACAGGGGCCAGGGTAGGGCAGGGCAGGAAAGGGCAACAATGTGCTTTCTGAATTTTTTTATTGTTCAGACAGCACATTGCTAGTTTTAACATGTAATTGCCAGACTCAGCTTTAGCCAGCAAACAAGTTAAAGTTGTTGCCGTAAGAAGAATGCAATGGCCATTTTTTTCGGCAAGACCCTTTAAGCCAAGCTAGCAGAGCAGCCTCATTATCACAATAGAACATAAGCCGCTTGCCAGACCAAGTATGAGCCCAAACAGCGCAAGCTAGAGCAATTGCTGAATAGGAATCAGCTCCGCAGGAAAGGACCAACCAAACTGCATCCAACCATCTACCGCAGCACATGTGAAGGCAACAGTAGCAGCAGTGCCAAAAGCAAATTGCAGACCACACTCGGCGCATAATAATTAGCGGCATGCATCACGAGACCATCACTCAACACGCATTGATACTCCAAGCTGGCATGTACAGGCTCGCCACACTGCAGTAAGTGGGCGAGGACAAGTTGCAGAAATAGATTGAGGGTATCAACTATCAAGGTAATCAATAGATGGACAGTTCAAGGTATTCATCCTAGGGATCAATCTGCATATTATACCCCTGTCCCAGGGAACGTAATACAATCCAAGCTTGCTTTTAGTTTTAAAACAGGATAGGCGAGGAGCCGGATAAACGAACATAACATTACATACTCTAGAGTGTATTATGCACATGGCATATCAAAAGATGTGACATCGTGCGTACATGTACATGTAGATGCGCCACATGCAGTACAGTTACCATGCACATTCTGTAAAACAAGCGAACCATACAACAAACCCCTTTTGTTTGTGCAACTCCCTGGTTCTGGCTTCTGATATGCTATGTGAACCCTTTTAATCACAAAACCATGCCCGTTATGTGGGGTCTGGTTATGTTGTAAGTGTAACATATGTTGTAAACTGGTTGCCAGCAATCTTCTTCCGGATGGTGTGTAGTCCGGATCAATGAGGACCGGATAAGCAAGGTATGACTGTACTTGATACTGGTGTAGGTTGTTATATCTAACAAGAGGTGGAAAACGCCATCACAGCCACCAGGAAAGCATAGATATAACCACAAACAATCCTTTATCCCACAGAAGAAAACAGACACAAGAGACGGACTGCACAGCCCCCAAACGTACTTGATGTGAACACTCAGGCTTTGGCGAGACGGGGTGCTAGGACCACTCACAGGGATAGACACGGCACTGTAGCACAGCATGACAAGACACTGGCCCAACGGAGACCGGCACGGTGGCATAGGAACGCAGCAATGCTAAATAGAACTGAAGCCAACCACAAAGAAAAGGCAAACAACACAGAACATACGGCGGTGATGACCAGGAAAAAAGACGATGCCCTGCCTTAACAATGCCCCTCAGCCACAAAATAGAGTCTACAGTGAAGACTGACAGGGGCCACACACAATGCAGAGCATACTCCAAGTCAAAGACCTCAGAACACAGGACACAACACAATGAGAACATGCAACGTATGGAGACCCAGACTGTGTGATCAGCAGGACACAGCCCGTACAGGATGGAACAGACAACTGCACGCAATAAAGCACCACGTACCGGCGGACTAGTCGACGCTGATGGGAGAAGTGGCACCCCTGAGGCAGCTACGGATGCTAGAACTCTACAGCCAGACCAACACCAATGATAAAACAAAAGGATACACAACACCAGGAATCAAGTCAAATAAAGATGTGTGAACAATGACCAAACACCACAGAAAAGGACCCAGAACAAAAACTTAATTACGGACACCATAGACACTACAAAATCCAAACAGGAGCAAAATACCAACTCCCTGAGGACACTGAGCATGAGGCATGAGGCAAACGAGCAAGCAACCTCTTGCCGATGTTCCACCTTGTAACAACAATTTGCCGGGCCGCGCTGGCCACTGGACTGTATGGTAGGGGTATTACACCTGGACCTCAAGACCAACGGGCGAAGGACAGCAGGCCGGGCCCAGGTAAATACAATGAGGAACACTGCATATAACTACAGAAATAACCCAAACCCATGCCAGTCTGACCAACATACCTTCCCTGCGCATCCATGCCAGGCCCGTCGCACCGACTTTGGAGGTGGGGCGGCCATGCAAGGGGGTCCGGGGGCCCTCCGCGGTAAAAATGTCAAAAATTGAAGCCAATTGCAAGCATTTCCGGGCATTTGGTGCCATTTCAGTGTAACTACAATGAAAGACTCTTTTTTTCTGTAACAAACCACGGGGATCGGGAACGGGGATCGGTGACGGGGATTGGGGACAAGGATTCTTCATTATTTGCCACGTTTGCGCTGAGCTGCGATCATCGCGCTTTGTTGCAGTGTGCTAAAAAAACAAGAACAAAAAAACGGCCAAAAAGGTGGGGCGGCTGAGGCCACCCCAGCCGCCCAGCTGTGCCGGCCTTGCCTGCCTGGTGTACGGGTCTGAAAGATGAAAGATGGAGCTCTTGTATACACAGGCTCGGAAAGCCTGCTTCGGCTGCTCGGCAGCAGCTTCGTAGTGGTGGTCAAGGGTAATAGGATACGGATCAACTCCCCAGTGATCACACCTTTACCCATACTACGGGGGTGGTTACTACCGGCAAGCAGATACAGGAAACGATTGATGACCTTGAAATGAGGCTTCGCCGCCATGTATCCCCTACTACGGAAAACTGTGGTGTCCAGGAAATATATGCCATCATGTGCCAGTTCATGCGCAAACTCGAGGGCCGAACACTTATTAATCCTGTCTAAAGCGCGCTGAACTTGACCTTGGCAACCATGCAATGAAACAAAAATGTCACTGATAAAGCGTCTATAAACCTGAACCTCTAAACCTAAACCCTCCCCCTCTAAGATCGGAAAAATGTACCGATTCTCCAAATACAGCATAACAATGTCGGCATAGACCACTGCTGCAGGCGAACCCATGGCAGTCCCTTGGATCTGCGGAAACAAATCGTTATCATACACGAACTCGTTAGTCTTCCGAATGACTGACATCAAGGAAGTCACTGCTGTTGTTAACCGTGTACGAAGGGCCGGGGCATCCACCTTGTATACCTGTGTGTGATATACCACGACAATGCCACGTGACCGAGCTCGTTGGCGATGTTGGTGTGAAGGCTGGTCACATCTATACTCAAAAATAAATGATCGTCCCGCACAGGCAAACCTTCTACCAAGTTGATGAAATCCGTAGTTCAGGCCAGAACAGTACTTTCCTCACGTACATACAGGTTCAGTAGAAAGTCAATGAACTTAGCGGGATAGTAGCCAGGACTATTCGGACTAACAATAGGCCTAACCTTCAGGGCACAGGGCTTAGGTGTTTTGAGAAGTCTCCTGAAAACGGGCATGCGCCCCCGGTGCGACTAAGAACAGTGACATATATAAGACGATGCTCAATGCGATGCCTAGTCATGGTGAGTAAACAATTGACTCGGGTCGCGCACACGAAGTCTCAACGCAGCCTTGAGCCAGTTGGTTGCCATCCGCAGTCTAGCCACAAGTTCATCTAGCCCCTCAGGCAAAAAAACCCAGTCATTTATAATGTTGGGCATTGTGATGCTGGGCACGACCTATATCACCATAGTGAGATCAGTCCAGGACTACTATCACACTAGACTCGTCTGCCTTTGAATATATGCCCGAGTTTAATCGCGTTCTACATGTAACTCCCATACTATGTGCTGCATGTGTACACTCCGCCTATGGTTAGTCTTCTCTAGAACAACGCCTGGAGAGGTTCATTGGGGGCATGATGTCCCCCACCCCATCCCCCCCCCCTCCCTTGCCCCCTACACCTGAAGTACCAGTATTGCCCCTCCCCCCCCCCCAAATAAAGTACAGGACACAGATGGAGCACTGGGGAGCATGTAGCAGTAGGCAAAGTTGACGATGCCAGTGCAGACACATCTGACCTCGGTCACCACACTGGCAAGGTCGTATGGTCTCCAAGGAACATAGCTACCAGAGAACACACAGAATGGGAGTATATAGTGCTATCCCGGAGGATAGACAACCTCCTATACAAAAATACCTACTGATAGAGTTCTGTGTAGACCATATGTGCACATATGTGTGGATGAGTACTAGTGTCATGACCCGGATCAGACTCGTCGTGAAAGCGACCATGCATTGAGTTCAGCAGCCAAAAGCTGGGCTCCGAAATATTCTAGAGTTCTGTAAGAACCATGATTAGTCCTGCGAAGGATTTGGCACTTTCGTTAGTTGAGCAATCATGGCTTACAACTCGTGGCCTAGAGTCGCAAGTGTTGTCGTACGTCGGCAACACCTTCAGTACAAGTCATCAGCATTGTACTCACTACACTGTTGAGCTTGAGGGGACCCTGCTTAGTCCTGCAAAGGAGCTGATACCTTTGTTAGTCGAGCAAGCAAGGCCCCTCTTCTCGCGTCGTACGACGTAAAGGGTCCTGCAAGTGCTTCGCGCACTGCGGACTCCGTTATCCTTTTTTGGGAGAGGTCACGGCTTGACCGTGAAGCACCCTACGGGGCAATGAGACTTGAGAGGGAAGAGCCTACGGGCAGGAGATGAAGGGTGACCCAATCAAGACAGCGTACGAAGGCGGCGTGCTCTGGCTGCAGCAACTTCCGACAGCGTACTCCAGGCCCCGTCGCACGAAGAGCCTCGGAGTCCCTTTCATGTAATGTGGGTGAGCGAGCTCCCCGTATTGATTGATCTTTGTACTATATTCTAGTTTGGCTGATTGCACATATTGCACCACTGTTTGTAATATAGAAATAATCCTTACGCATTCTTGCCGCTGTATACTTTTGATCACATAATGTAGCATACAGAGGTCTAGCCAGGATTTTATGCCAGCCGGCCAACGTTCTAGTGAAAATGCATCGTTCTGGGGGCTGCGCCCCCAGACCCCCCCCCCCCCCATCAGTCACATATCCACACAGACACACACACACCACTACAAATCTTTCATTGCAGCTTGCATCTCCTTTCGCTTCGTCCAATTATGGACATTTATCAGGCAGTTGTGACAATGACATTGTGACTATAGGTAAATTAACAAAAATAATTAAAATTATTTTTGTTAATTTACCTATAGTCACAATGTCATTGTCACAACTAAAATATGAAAAAGGAAACAAACAGCTACATCAGCATGGATCATGTGTTCACTAAAGCAACGTGGAGGAACTATGTTCCAAAATGCAGCATGCACAAGACCCATCCTAGCCACGAATGGCCCACGATATGACAGTCCAGAGTCTGTAGCTGTCAGTGTCACTGCTAGCCGTGTACCTACCCACCGTAAGCAGCGAACCATGGCCCGACCTAGCACCTGTTACATTTTACTGGCACTCTGCGCACCAACGACATACATGTACTCAAGTGCATACTCAAGTGCATTTCAGGGTGAGTGAAGAGCTAGCACTGACTGAGCCTCTGCTACGTAGATCTACTGACTCAAGTGCTAGTATAGTGCAGTGATCTACGCAAGTACAGTGCACTGTAGTGCAGTGCCAGTACAGTGGAAGTAGTTTTCGCTGCTGCCGCCTTGCCGGTATTTCTGTTTCCACGATTATTCGGACATTGTAGTGGCAGAAACTGGACCTATTTTCGACAGCTGACAGTGGTCAACTCTTACCTTGGCGGAGGATAGTGGGCTTGGTGACATGATTGAAAGAAAAATGATCCCGAACACAGCATGCTACAAATACTTGTACTTGTAGAAACTGAAAATTTCTCTGAATCTCAATTGTTTGCCAGCCGGCCAAAATAACCCTTGGAGCTGTCTCAGCCGGCAGGTCGCCCTCCCAGCCGGCATTCTGCCGGCTGAGCCGGCTTTGGCTAGGCCTCTGAGCATATATAAGGAGCTGTTTTGCTAACATTCATCCTCGATTCTCGGGGAGCTCACTACTCCTCTCGATTCTGAGAGAGTCACTCCGACTCTCTCCTGCTTTGGGTCTTTTGACTCTACACACTTGATCATTCGATCTAGTACTGCAATGGTTCAAATAAACACTGTTCAAGTGGAATTAGAAACCTGTCGTTCTGTGTGAGCTAGCAACTTGGATGGCGACTATATTGGTCATCTACCTGGGTAGCCACTAGACTGATCTAAGCCAAGTCACAAACCCGCCAAGCGCGGCCATGACATTAGTAAACGGACAGCTAACCCTAGTCTAAGTAAAATAAATGTAGAATGTAGACCCTGGGCAAAAAAATAAGAAAAATAATAGCAAAACATGAGGGAACTCGGATGGAGAGCCAAGGATTAAAATTAAAAAAGAGGACCATAAGTTTACGAGTTATCCGTTTTGTCCAACACTAACGGATATAAACGTGATGCAGCTAAGCATCAGGTCGTTGAATATCATGATCTCATCAGTCAGTTTTTGTGCTGATTGTGGCACATTTTTGACTCAACAGTATTCTGCTTATAACCGTTAGTGTTGGACAAAACGGATAACTTGTAAACATGAGGGAACACTCATCCTTACCCAAGTCCCAACGTCAGCACTCGGTGCCGCTCCGAACCAAGAGGAACATTGGAGAGATCGTCCATCAGCTCCTCTCTCGTCCTGCGATCAAATCGCCTAATGCTAAAACACAAAAAGATAGGAAAGGCAAGTAGAATAAAAAAATCAATAAAATACTTCGAAGTAATAAACAACAATACAAGTTTGAACAGCTGCAAACGTAATGGACGATCCGAACAAGACCAATGATCTACCTAGAAATTCTAGAAGACTAGGAAACATCCATACCTGCTCAAACTGAAGAGGAAAGCATAGAAGAGGGTAAAAGGGGGCACTACTGAAGTGTTCCTGGGATAGCTATGGTCTTTGCTATGCTATTTATTTGCAGTCTGATTCATCTGAAAAACGAAGTTTCAACTTTCAAGCATTTAATTTACAGTCCTACCATACCCTCGTTAGTATGACATCGGTTGCAAGACAAACCTCATTAGTAGACAACGATCCAAAATCCCATGAATCATTAGCAGTCGTACATGCAAGTCCGGATAAGAGATAATTCGTTTGTAGACCAAATTCGTTATAACGTCCCTTTCAGCTGTCCCACAGGTTTGAATTCTCATTACAAGAAAATGCGGATGGCCGAGGATAGCTCCATTGATATTTCATGGTGTCTTGTATCGGGGTCCGATGAAACATTGTCTGATAATGGGTTGTCTTGTACAGGGGTCTGGTGGAAAACACTGTCTAATAACAAGGAAACATCAGTTCTGATGTGGACACAATTTGGATGATGCAAAGCAGCAGAAAAATGTACTTGTTATCGGACAAAAAAAGTTGATACCCCCAGGGTTGTCTCCTAACAAGGGTAGACCTACGAAATAGTGGTTGCGACTTCGGCGATGATTGTTAGGAAAGGGTTTGCTCTCGACACTGGAGCTCACGCTATTCTGCCGCCTTGACTTTACACTTGACTGACTGACAGCTGCCACCCAGAGCACATGAAAAGTCCATCCAACCTTCCACTCGGAAAACCAGCAAGAAGGGACCACTCCCTGCTCAATACACAGTGTTTCGGGAAAATGAACCCTCATCAGTCGAGTTTGAGTAGGCTGAGGAAGATTGCGCCTGAAGAGCACCATTTATAATATTATAGTGCTCTCTAGGTCCAAACATCACCAGGGATACAAACTTACAGAGACGCTCCGTTTGCAGCGCGACCAACACCTCGTGAGCACCAGATAGCAGTGCGAGTCAGTGTCGCTCCTGGACGGTGAGAGCTGAGAGAGAGAGAGAGAGAGAGAGAGAGAGAGAGAGAGAGAGAGAGAGAGAGAGAGAGAGAGAGAGAGAGAGAGAGAGAGAGAGAGAGAGAGAGAGAGAGAGCGGGGGGAAAGAGAGAGAGAGAGAGAGAGAGAGAGAGAGAGAGAGAGAGAGAGAGAGAGGGAGAGAGAGAGAGGGAGAGAGAGAGAGAGAGAGAGAGAGAGAGAGAGAGAGAGAACGAGAGAGAACGAGAGAGAGAGAGAGAGAGAGAGAGAGAGAGAGAGAGAGAGAGAGAGAGAGAGAGAGAGAGAGAGAGAGGGAGGGAGGGAGGGAGAGAGAGAGAGAGAGAGAGAGAGAGAGAGAGAGAGAGAGAGAGAGAGAGAGAGAGACACACACACACACACACACACACACACAAACACACAGAGACAGACAGGCAGACAGAAGGAGAGAAGACAGAGATCCGGGATGTGACATCATCATGACATCGGCCGTTGCTGCGTATGTTGGATCCAAGGTAACGAAAAGATGACACATGGGCAATCTCCATGGTTCGAATCGCGAGCGGCTCTAGATCGTCGTTAGAGGTGTTGGGGCCAGAAACCATGACCTTGGTTTGGGTGGGGGGCACACGCACGCACACACACACACACACACACACACACACACACACACACACACACACACACACACACGCAGCCAACGCCATACTCAGCACGTGCGGGCCGCGCGAACAGCGTTACACTTGTGCCTCGCAATATCCTGTGGCCGACGAAAACTGCGCGCACAAGTGCCACAAATGAGGGGCTTCGCCACAGGCTCCATGCGGGACTGGACAATAGCGTCGACAGCGTCACGGCAGGTGACCCGCCATCCCTGTCGATCTTGGACGATGTCACCAAGCTGCTCCAGAGGAACGCCAACACACACACACACACACACACACAGACACACACACACACAGACACACACACACACACACATACACACATACACACATACTGTGTACCATGTATATGCCCGTCACAAGAAAAGCACGCAAAGTTGCGGAAGTCAGGCCTCGCTGGACCAACCAGAATGGAGCTGCTACGGGCCTGAGCACGCAGCTTTCCCCATGTTGCAGAAGGCAATGCAGTGCTGCAAGTGGCAGGCAATCCTACGTGAAAAATTGGCACATACACCTCCATATTAATAATTCCAACGAGAGAGCTCAGTTGAAAGCTCAGGGCCCTCACTATGCTTTTTTGCCTAGGTTATCATGCATTATGCGATAGCAATAAACAACAGTTTTATTCGGCTGAAATAAAGGATACCAATAGACCTCACTTGTACTTGGCTGAAATAAATTGTTCATCGTTGTTATTGCATTTAGTTTTTCATTTCGATATCACACGAATAAAGAGCGCTTGGGCTTGAAGGCTAGAGAGGGCTTGACCGCCCAGGAGCCCTCGCTATGCTTATTAATAATTGCCTAGGTCATCATGTGTGTTATTCGAACTGATAGAAACGTCTTTGCAATACAAAAACATGTGCATGACAATCAAAACTTTAGTTCATAAACGCACATCGATACATAACTCAAAACTCAAACTCTCAGACAGGTACATTCTACCAAGTAAAAGTAAAATATAATAATAGATTACGCTATGGTACTAGCTTATTTCATTTTTTCCAGCCCTGTTTCAACATGTGGCCAGCAGTCTTTGCCAGAATGGTACGGAACATCAACGGAATAGGGCCAGGCTGGTGCGTAACATGATGATGGCCCTACCGACCGCACACCAAACAAGTTCGAGCATGAGAGCATATATTTTCTCCTGCTGAATGGATGCCTGTGCAGCGGTCTCTAGCTGTCGACGCGTCTTGTCACGAAGGCGGTGAGTCTCCAAACGACGGGATATTTGCTCCGTCGTTTCTTGCTGTTGGCATAGCCTTTCGCAAGCACGGCGACTCTCGAGGCGGCGGGACCTCTCTTCTCCCTTCTTCTACTCTCTGTGTAGGCACTCCTGCCGACGCCGTCTGCTCAGAGCTTTAACACTGTCACCCCTGTCATTTTGCTCTTCCTCATAGTCCTCTTCTCAGCATTCTATTTATACAACAACTACGCCCATTAAAACACTGCAATCTACCTGATCCTTACATTCCCAGCCCATTAGTACCACACCCCTAAACTTTCGACCGATAGTACGACACTTTCTATGGTCTTTTGAAATCAAACCGCGACCATTACAATAATGTGATCTAAACCATAATGAGCGTTAGCAGGCAGCCCAGCGAGCTGGCCCGACCTGCACGCATGCGCGAGTCACGTGGTCGTGCGCCCTCCAAGATCCTGTACAATGTCTCTTGCATGTCATTGCCGTTTTCAACTTTCGAGCATGCAACTTGCGGAACATGCGTTCCCAAACAATTTCCTCTACAATTGTGCTCGCCCCGGTGTATCTTGCTAAGCTCAATGTTAAAAGTGCATTCTGCCGAATTCCTGTCCGCCCGGAGGATTGGTCCTTGTTGATCCGCTGGCAGGATCAATACTTTTATGAGAGTGCCCTGCCCTTCAGACTGTATTACACTCCAGTCCAGCTATATGGAACTCTGTCGCATCCGCCAGTGAATGGACTATGTGCTAGCAGTTCGCACTCCCACGCCTGTTGCATTACGGGGAATACCTCAACTAACGTTACTTCGTCAGTGCATGCTCTGGACTTGTGTTAGCTTGCCAGCAATTCGCTATTCTGCTCCGAGCGTTTACATACTTCGATGTTTCTCTGGCCCCAGCAAAAGTGGAGGGTCCAGCTCAAGTCCTGACGTTATTGGCATCATCCCATTACGGGGAGTACCTCGACTAACGTTTCTGTCTCGATGCATGCTCTGAACTTGTGTTAGCTCGCCAGCAACTCGCTACTTGGCGCCGCACGTTTACATACCTCGGTGTTTCTCTGGCGTCAGTAAAAGTGCTTCCTCAATGCATGCTCTGGACCTGTGTTAGCTCGCCAGCAACTCGCTACTCGGCGTTTTCTCTGGCGTCAGCAAAAGTGGAGAGTCCAGCCCACGTCCTGATGTTTATCGACGTCATCCCGGACACCCGCCGCGCTAACATCAGTATGCCTATGGACGAACTTGCCAAGCTTCGTGATCTCCTTCGGGCCACAATTCACACAGCTTCAACTACCCAATGTCAACTCGAGTCTCTTCTGGGAAAGCTCTCGTTTGCTACAAGAGTGATAGCCCCTGGACGCAAATTGCAGATTGTGGTCACTTGCCAACTGGTACCGACAGCCGTATTACCTGATCAAGCTCTCCAAAGAGTGCCTCAAAGATCTTTGCTGATGGCCTGAGCTCCTAGATTAGCGGAACGGCCGGTCCTTCTTCCTACACCCTAAGTGGACGCCGTCCCCCGACTTGCTGCTATTCACTGATGCAAGTGGTGCACTTGGCCAGTGCTCGTACAATTGCGACCGGGGATGGGGCGATGGACAGTCAATCAAGCAGAGCAGCAATCGCAAAGGGTTGTTTGCAATTGTGGCAGCCCGCAGCACCTGGGAAAACTAGCGGCATCAGCTGCGAATGCCAATCGATGGGCATTTACAGCAACTGCGAGGATATTGCTCATAAGTTGTGGCTTTGGCCTGGCGTTGTACACCGGCCACTCGTTTCGAATCAGCTGCCGGACTCGATATTCAGAGAGGCGGGAAGGTGGAAAGCGATGTCTGCCCGAGTAACATTCGGACACCACCTGCAGCCAAAGTATGGGTGGCTGCGGCAATGGCCTCAGCCCATGATATCAAGTTCTGACAGTCTTTACCTAGCTTGCACCGTTTACAAATTGCACGGGTAGCTGCACTTTGTGATCCGCTCCGGGAGTGCCGATTTATGGAATATATGCTCTCAACTGGTTATGCATACCAATGTATTTAGCATTTGGCGGCTCTACTCAAAGCCATTGGCGGCTCTACTCAGAGTCATTGGCGGCTCCATGCGGAGTCATTGGCGGCTCCATGCGGAGTCATTGGCGGCTCCAAGCGGAGTCATTGGCGGCTCCATGCGGAGTCATTGGCGGCTCCATGCGGAGTCATTGGCGGCTCCATGCGGAGTCAATTTGCGGCTCCATGCGAGGTCATTCGGCGGCTCCATGCGGGGTCATTCGGCGGCTCCATGCGAAGTCATTCGGTGGCTCCATGCTGAGTCATTTGACGGCTCCAAGCGGAGTCATTTGCCGGCTCAGCTGCGAGCCATCTAGTGGCTCCAAGCAGAGCCATCATACCTGTTGCTCGAATCGGCACTCCCAGCTTAATCCAAAACTCGGTTGCTCTGTTGTGAGGTGGGGGGATGCTAACCTAGGAATGGGTTTGCTCCCCACACTGGAGCTCGCGCTATTCCGTCGACTTGACACTTACCGGACTCACGACTGCCATCCAGAGTCGCCACCACTATTTCTAAACCATACGGCTAATTATTTTAGTTAGCTATCCACTTACCGGTACAGTAAAACCTGTGACTACCGACCACCCCTTGGTGCCAGCAAAAGCGGTCTTTAGTAGCAGGTGGTCTTTAGTTAGAGGTTTGCACCGCGTGACCATAATATGTGGATCCCATTATATGATATGTATGTCAAAATGCAGCAAATACAATTCCCCAGGACTTGCGCAATGTCATTCTTATTTCAGGTCAAACAACACTTGGAGAGAAAGACGGAGAGATGGAGAGAGAGACAGAGAGAAGATTAATTTTTTGCAGACTTCAAATTCAGCTGACGGCAGGAGTCAAACGTTCCCTGGGGAAGTTTCGTTTTGCGCTGGGCTTCAAATTTGTTCATGCGATCAATCGTACCGACTGTCCTTGTTGTGACTTATCGGTTGCTTGAACGCGATCCTTCAGCATCAGGACCTTGTGGTGCTGCTTTGTTTTTGGATACCTTGATGCCATCGTCGATCCGTCTGTATGACTGGGGTGACAGAGCCGCCCAGTCTTCGTTTCTCCTCCGAGTAGTAACATCGATCAGAGTGCGCTTTCGATGCGCTCTCCAAGACGTTTCCTATCATGTTTTTTCTTGACAGCGCTTGAAATTTTGACAGGTGTAGTGCAGTCCACACCTACTCCACAGCCAAAATTACCTGCGTTCATTTGTTCAGCTGTAGTATCGAAATATTCCTTTCAGGACCATGGAAAATCAGTAAAATTTCAGGAAGGAGCTTCGAGCAACATTTGATTTCCTACATCGCGGTCGCTAGTTACGGGTCAAAAATTGTCTTTGGGACAGGAAAAAGCGGTCGCTGGTCGCATTCAGCAGGTAGTCGCTAGTCACAGTGCATTTTGAATGTGAGACCGTCCATGCCTGGCCAAGTGGTCGGTAGTACCAGGCTGGTCGCTAGTCACGGTGGTCTTTAGTTACAGGTTTTACTGTATATCCCTTACCGAAATTGTATTCTTGAACGCAATATTCTTCTTTCTTTTTCTTCTACTCCGTTCCATCAGCACTCGGCCGATGGCAGGGGATTGGCACCCACTGGGCTAGCATGCAGCAGCCAAAGCTGGGGCCTTTTCTTACTCCGTCAAACCCACTTCTTAAAACGAAACTGACGTGCATATTCACATTGCATGTTGTGAATGTCCCCATATTTGCCCCGACATCTTAGCTCGTACAGCGCTCCAGATGCATCTATGCTACGGTGCGCACCGCATACTCGAATTACGGTACGGGACACATACGGGATACTGCACCAACCATGGCATGCCACGTGAACCACCCTACCAGGCACCGAGACACGCACCGAATTATAGCGGTGTGGATACTGGCTAGCACCAGATGCTACTAAAGTACAACTGAATAGCGTCTTTTGCATAGCTACGGGAATAAACTCATATCCCAAGCATTGCAGCTCTGCTAATAGAATAATTCAGGTTAC